TAATTAGAATAATAAACTAGAAGCAACATTTGAGAGACTTGAGTTGCCTTCCATATGGAGATAGTGTCAAGCATACCCAGAGCATTTCTAGGAGATATTTGTCTTTACTGATTTTAAACTCATCTGATAAAGGAGATTCCACAACCTCATAGGCAACTTGTTATAGTATATCACTGCCCTGTAGAGAAAACTTTTCCTAACATCTGACCTAAATTGTCTTCGCTGTATATTTAGCTCAGTTTTCCTCTTTCTGTAGTTGATGGACTATGAGAAAAATTTAGCAGTGCATGATTATAACTTTGTGCATATTGGAAGGTTGTTCTCACATTGCTCATTAGTTAGCTCTTTTCTCGTTTAAGCAAATGCAATTCTTGACTCTCTGCGCAGCTATTATTTTCATTATCCTTTTTTGAACGGTCTTGTTTTGTCTATATTTTTCTTCAACAGTAGTGCCCAGCACTCGTATTTCAGGGGAAAAGTCCCTAACACCAGCTCATGTAGTGTAATATATTCTTACCTCCTTCAATCCTAACCACAACCCACAATGCTATTTTACAGTGCTTTTGGCAACATCGCATTACTGATACGTAGTTATGTGTGATCAGTGGAATTTCTTACACTCTCGTATTGTGTATACAGTTGTTTCTTTGTATATTTTTTGTGCATGTGATTTCTCCTGTCAAGGACTTCATATTTATTTTTATTGAGTTGTATCTTGTTGACTTTGGGCAATTTGATCATTTTGCATGCAGACCTAACCTCTAAAGGATTTCAGTAAATTTTATAGCATATTCTGCATTCCATAATTAGAATCATTACTGAAAAGACAATATTAGAGAAGCCTCTTCCGTGACCTCAGTTAAAATGTGTTTGTAGTTTGATAACGAACTGCTAACGGATAGAGCTTTCTCTTGTGCTGTTTTTCAGCCAGCTCTGTGCCTACTTTCTTAATTAGCATATGAGATTGCCGTAAAGATGCATTAAAGTTCAGGTGAATTACACCATCTGCTTTCCCTGCGTCTGTCAAAGAAGAAAATGGGAATAGTTTTGAGTAATTTGTTGGCTGGGTTGGTTGTTTCTTATCGTGTTGTTATCTAGATGTTTATAAACTGAGTCTTTCAAATAATTTATTTTAGGACAGTTTTGGATATTAGACAGGCTGATTATCTAATATGCCATGGACTTCTCATTTACAAAGCTAGATACCAGTTTGTTCTTATCCATCTAGCCAAGGTCTTCAACATCTTATTTTTCTCAAAGAGCATGTTAAGTTTTGGAAGACAGCTGGTAACTATGGAGGCTGATTCAGCAACTTCTTTAAGTACTTTAAGATTAAACACTAAGATTTTGCCAAATAGCATGCAGATTATAGACAAACTGATAGGTTGATGGTGAGGTGGATTGAAAGCTGGCGGGGCTGAACGGACAGACTCAAAGGGTTGTGGTCAGCAGCATACATTCCACCTGGACAGCAGTGATGTACCCCAGGAGTCAATACTGGGGCCAGTGATATCTTCCTTAGTGACCTGGATGAGTGGACAGGCTGCACTTTCAGCAAGTTTGCAGACGATACAAAGCTGGGAGAACTCTTTGATGCACTGGATGGTTGTGCTGGCGTTCAGAAGGACCTCGACAGGCTGGAGAACGGACTGACAGGAACCTCATGAAGCTGAACAAAGGGAAACGCCAAGTCCTGCCCTTGGGGAGGAATACCCCCGGGCACCAGTAGAGATCGTGGGCCGACTGGATGGAAAGCAGCTCAGGAGAAAAGGATCTGGGGGTTTTGGTGTGCACCAAGGTGAACATGAGCCAGCAATGCGCCCTTGTGTCCCAGATGGCCAAGAGCCTCCATTTTCTGCATTAGAAGGAGTGTTGCTGGCAGGTCGAGAGAAGTGATCTTGCCTCTCTGCTTCGCCCTGATGAGATGACATCTGAAGTGCTGTGTCCAGTGCTGGGCCCCCCTGTCCAAAGGATACAGGGAGCTACTGGAATGCCACAAAGATGGTTAAGGGAATAGAGGATCTAACATTTGAGGAGTGGCTGAGAGAGCTGTTTAGCCTGGAGGAGAGAAGGCTCAGGGAGGATTTTAGCACTGTATGTAAAAACGTGATGGGAGGGAATAAAGAAGGTGAATCCAGACTCTTTGCAGTGGTGCCCAGCAAGAGGACAGGAGGCAATGGGCGCAAAATAAGACACAAGAAATTGTACAGAAAAAAAAAAAAAAACTTTTTTTTACTTTGAAGGTGGTCAGGCACTGGAACAGTTTGCCCAGTGAGGTAGATACTCAAAACCAAACTGGACATGGCTGTGGGCAACCATTCTAGTTGACACTGCTTTGGGCAGTGGTCCAAGAGGCCTCTTCTAACCTCAACAATTCTCTGATTCTCTAATTATTTATAGGAATGTCATTTAATTGTTCTTTTCTGCGCTCATCCTTCCAGATCGCAGAGTCTTCATCCTTGGAAATGCTCAAAATTCAACTGGTCAGGACCACTGAGCAGTCTGCTCCAACTGGACTTGCTTTGAGCAGGCGGTTGGGCTAATATACCTCTGTAGGTCCCCTCCAACCTGATTCTGTGATTCAGACTTAACTTCCCCCTTCCCCCTTTCCTCGTCCCCCCTTCCCCTTCCCTTTATTTAACCACAATTTTTCTTTTATTGTGAAGATCAAAAGCAAACTAGATAACTAGATACTGAATATTTGAGCTCTTTTTAGTCTTTTTGGATAGGTTCTGCTTTCCCATTAAGAAATGAATCAGTACTTTACTTTCACTTCTTTGTTTCCCTACTATCATAGTCATCATAGTTTATCCAAAGTAATTATTAGCGTTGTTTTTCTGTCTCTCTTTTTTTTTTTTTTTTTGTCATGGAAGTTATTGTCCCATCCTCTATTTACTTGAGTATTTTAGGTATTGCTATCAAACTTACTTAAAAAGGATAAAGAAAGAAAAGAAGAGAAAGCAAGAGAGAGTATTTTGTACAGAAAGTACTTTTAGTAGACAAAGGCAAACTTTTTTCAAGAAACTGCTTCTTTGCCATTTCTTACTTATTTCTCAATATAATTGAGAAATGATATTTATGTTATATATAAATTATTTCTCAATATCATTGAGAAATTGGAGCTGTCAAAGCTGTCAGGACTTCTTGTCCCTCCTGTCCTCCAAAAATGTCATCAAGAGAAGTGACAATTGTTTTTTGAATGATTAAATGTGTTTTGAACTGTGGAGGGTTAGGGCAGATCCTTTTGGGTAGAACTCAAGTTTAAATTTAAGTCTGCTTTCACTTCTTGTCTGAAGTGAAATATATCTTTGTCCTCACTTTACCCTAATGATTTCATATAAAGTGATTTCAGATGTTCGCATTTTTGCTGCAGAATAATAAACTGTGATTTTTAAACATATACTAGTGTGAAAGAAAAGGAATAAAAAACAATAGATAGCTTAAACAGTACATGTTGTAATGTCTCACCTGGCCTAATTTTAAGTCACATGCCTGAGGACTTTGGAAGGCAAAGTGGTCTCATTGAAGGAGTTTTTTTTTCCAATGAAACTTTCCCTGTTCAAGTTTTTATCACACTTTTGGATCTGTATCAACATGCACTAAGCTCATCTGTTGGTCTGCATGTGTTTATAACCTTCAAATATGCACTTCTGCCAACATTTCCTTGCTTTTCACTTGTTTAAGTCATCTACATCCTATCATGTTCAAACTTCTCAGACTCTTGAAGATGAATATTAGTGTTTTTTGGAAGACTTACAAGTAGTCTGTAACTGTTTTCTTGTAAGTTTTGGTATGAATATGGGCCATTGTCTCTAGAATGAAACAACATCTCTAGAATGAAGCAGTATTTTCTTTCTCAAGCTTTATCTGGCAAAGTAAGCGTGGATTAAGGCAGATTATAATTTTAAAGCACAGGTTAGTTGATCCTGAATAGACTGTATGTGGATGCTGCCTGCAATTGTACCGGCAGCCGGGTTAGTATAATGACTTGTTGCCCTCTCAAGGGGAAAGTCTTCATCCTCCTTCACCCCTTTCTGTGCTCCTGGCACTGAGGTCCTCCCCTTCGTTTCTGCCTGGGCCTGCTCTGGTGCTTTTGTGCCCTTCCAGTGTTCGCCGTATCTCACTGCGTTGTCAGGACACTCTCCCAAGTCAGCTTTCTGCAGCATTTGTGAGGACGCTGAGGGGGGTGGTGAGGAGGAGGTAAGAGCATTGAGCTGGGAGCATAAGGAGTGGGGGAAAGGGGGGAGACATTTCCCCTCCAGTGGTGGGGAGCTGCTGAATTGACTCACTGACTCTTGTAGAGCCACGTTGTTCACCCAGCGCACGAGCGGACTATTCCAAGTGAGTTTCGTGACTCCACTGAGGCGAGCTGAGCAGAAAGGATACTCCTGTTGGGAATGGAGCTGTCTGCTTTCCAACTTGCCTGGAAGCAGCTAAACAGGAGCAGCTGTCTGCATAGGTGTCTTAAATACACTGCTTTTCACATTTGAATAAATACAAGTGTGAATCAAACAAAATCAAAGTATATCTGAACCAAATAAAATATGTTTGAATAAATCAAAAGGAAGGTGAGAGAAAAGGTGTTTAAGGTTCGCTTCTTCCACAGTCATCCACATCTAATCTTTACTTTATGCAAACTTGACATATTTCCATTGATTTGTATTTTACTTATGTTATTACTTTTTATATTTAAAAATACATTACTCATGGGGAATGTGTAACTTTCTATGGGGAAAAAAGAGAATTCTGGACTATGTAAAATAGTAACCTTGCTGTGTTCATGATCCCACTACCCGGATTTTGATTTCATGTTTTTATTAACTTATGCAGGGTCGACCCAAAGAATCAATGAGAATCTTTTTTGAAGATTGAATTTTTGCCTTATCAGGCATAGAAAATAAAGTCTAACTTGTATTGAGCAGTTGTAAAATCTTCATGATCCAGAATGTACAATACCAGTGCGACTTTTTAGATAATAATACTTTTTCTCCTTCTTATAGGTCCTTTTGTTCTGCATCACAGCTGCTCTGTTCATGTTCTTTTTCAGGTATGTTGCTGGTGTATATGTTTATGTTCATAAAGATTATTTTAAACAGCATTTCTAATAGCTTACTTGACTTTGGTATTCTTATGAAAACTTGTATGTATTCTTGGTTCAGGCCTTCCAAATTGAGTAGAGTGTTTCTATGGCATTAGAAATTGAATGCTGTGAACATTAAAAAGGGAAATGCTGAGTTGAATGCTTTAAATCTCCTGGAGGGTCTACCGATAATTTAAGGAGCTTCCTTTCACCTCATAATTTGGACCCTGGATATCTAACGTTACACGGCATGAAAGCGGTGGGAATCTCTAATGTCTGTGTAAGTTCTTAAATAGTTTACTGCCCAGGAGATAACATTTGATTTTTCGGTGTAAATTCAGGGGAATAGGAAAATGAGATTTCCTAGGCTTAAATTATATCAAATATTTGATATGCAGGTGTGCCTGCCTTCTTTTCATTTTAAACTAAACTTGTTTCACATACTTTTTCACAATTTATCAGTTATGTTCATTTTTTAAAATAAACAGTTGGGGGGTTTGAGTAGACACAGATTTAAAACTTTTTTCTCACAGTCTGAACGAAATATATAACAAAGATATTTAACTCTTCACTGCTTCCCTTTTAAATACCAGATCCTCAAAATTATTTTGTTATAACTGTAGTTGGATGGTTGCTTGGTTGCTTGTTAGTGTAACCTCTAACTACAGCCCTTTGACTTAGAATTTTCTGTGGTAGATTTCTGTGGCGTGTAGCCATCTATGGTTCTGCAAGCTGTGTGATCCCCTGTTAATTGCAAAACTTGAGAAGCTTTAACTTATTTTTTCATAATTCCATCACTTTGGAATTTCTTAGGAGTATTGGCCAAGAACAGTCTGTGGATGGGGGAATGATATTATTTCAAAAGCTTCTAAAAAGCATTCTTTCTTTCATCAGCCACCCATTAAGACCCTTATATTGGCAATCTTCTCTTTGTTTTATTTTGTACTACTATCCAGAATTATGGCATGACAGGTTCTGAGAATTTTGCTTGTAATTTTGATATTAGACACCTGTCTATATGAATGCTGCTTTAGAAGAAAAAGAAGAAGAAACAAAAACAGTAAAATGCTGGTCAAAGTTATAAATACTGTATAATTTTGGATGAAGCTAATTGTCTCCTGTTTATATCTTTGGTGGCGAACCGGCGTTTTAAAAACAATGCAATAAGTTAAATGAGAACTGACCAGAGCCCAGAAATATTTGGCGAATTCCTTACCAACCTGACAATGTGAAGCTGACAGCTGAATGGATTCCAAACCACTTTCTCTCTTCTAAAATTAGTCCCTCCATGCCAAGATTGTTGAGCAATCTGCAGGAATGTTTACTTCCTTTCTCACTAGTGTCATAACAGAGAAATTAAAATACAGAACTAGGTAATTATAGGTCCATTAGTCTTTCTTTAATTCTCGGAAAAAAAATACTGGAATAAATTTTTTTTGTAAAGTTAGACAAAAACAGTAAGGTGAATAAGTCAGAATAGATCTATCAAAAAATAATTAAGCCAGACCAATTTATTTTCCTTTTTTCTGAGCGTAATGAGTATTGTGATACAAAGTTCTTCACAGTGATTCATATGACATTCTCATAAATACATCAGAGATGCATTGTCTAGGTGAAAATACCATTGGATAAGCACAGAACTGCCTAGATAATAGTCTGACAGAATTGCTTTCAGTGGTTGAATGTTCCTACAGTCAAAATCTTGCTTATGGACGAAGGGGAAACACACATATATATGTGTGTGTGTGTATATATATAAGGTATATATACATGTATATATACATGCATACATATAAAGCCAACAATTTATTAGTTTTATAATGGAAATCTTAGAAGTCTAATTCAAGAATCTTCATTAGTCTAGATTTAATTATTGCAGACAAAGAATAATAATGCGGTTGGAATAATATACAGAGAAAGGTTCAAATAATAGTACAATTACAACTGTGACACACATACACTTTTTAGTTTCTACCCCTTTTTCTGTGTTATGCTCACCCTTCCACTGCTCCTCTGGGCCCTCGGGTTGGTGATTTCACTCTGGTGTTGGCGGTGAGGGGATGTTACAGTGAGTTGTCAGCATTTTGAGTTCTTTGCCGGGAGGAACATCGTGTTCTTGTTGATGATTTCTCCTTTCTGCCCCCCAGGATCCATTTTTATATGTTTGCTCACAAACGTTTATTCCTTTGTCTGTCTTCATTGGTCTACAGCTCCAGCTTACATCCTATGCAATTACATCCTAGTTTTCTATATATGGTGCACTATATAGGCACTTTTATATTTAGATACTATTTCTATGTTGCCCTTAAAACCAGTTTTGTCCCGTTCCAGCTCTGCATTTTTAAACTGACCATTAGTGAGTTGTTTATAGCCAAGGGGGTTATAACAGTGCCAGCCTGTGCATCTCTTATCATCCCGTGCCTGTACTCCTCTGTGCTCTTTCTCAAGGTCTCTGCTATCGTACCAGGCCTGCATTTCTCTATACTACGTCATTGTGTTAGCGTTTTAAATATTTCATTGTACACTGAATAATTGCTTGTTACTGATGTCTATGTAAAACCATGGTTGTACCATGCAAAGATAAAGAGAAGTAAAACAAATTAGCCATAGACACCTGGTCAATTAGAAATTACTGTCACAGCTCAACCAGGTACAACAGAGGTACAGGCAGGTGAATGAAAATTTCAGACGAAGCCGGCATAACAAGCCTCAGTCCTTGCAAAAGTGATTCAAAGCTTACAGCCTGTTATTAGCCGTAGCAATATCATATTACAGGGCTACAGAGTTACACTGTCAAAGGCAGAGGACTGGGTTGACGAGCACCTACTTGGGACCTTGGCTGAGGTCGTTTTTACATAATGACCTTTTTTTTTCCCTAACACAATAACAATAGGGTAAATGTTTATTACCTGTGTGCATATAACTGCTGGGTGGGACTGCAGTTACTTTGAAGAATGGAATTGGAATTCAGATAGATACTAACTGGAGATATGAGCTGAAAAAAAAAATACAAAGCTGTTCAAAAATGACAAGTTTGAAGTTATAGACGTATGCAGCTATGGGGAAGCCACTGATTAGGAAGCATTTCTCTTAAAAAATATTTAAGAGTAGTAATTGTAAACTGCTAGCTGAAGACAATATTTTCAAATTGCTGCAAAAAAGGGAAACACAATAACAGGATATATAAACAGGGTGAGAGCTAGCAAGGTATTACGTTAAGACTGCTGTAAAGAGGATGGGAGTAATTCGTTCTGGCTGTGATAGAGAGGACAAGGAATAACAGAACAAGACGTTTCTTGTTATAAGACAGAATGGCAGCAGGTGTGAATTCACTTAGATTCTGAGTAAGAAAATCTTAAGAATAAGAAGGAACCAGTGGAAAAGACTTCCTAACAGGGTTACGGATTGTCTATCATTTGAGATCCGTAAGAACAGGTTTTGGATAACGTGGATATTTTCACTTAGGGCAAGGAATGGACTAGCTGACTTCCTGAATTTCTTCCACTGTTTGATTCACGTTAACAGTTGTCATATTATGAAATATTTAATGGAAAAAGCTGTCCTTGACAGTGGCCGTTAAAGTCTTTGGAGAAGAGTAACCCTGTGTTTTTTGAGTGCAAAATGAGAGATGCTCCTAAAAAAAAATTTCCCAAATTACAGCTCTGCGCTGTGGAAATCACTACATTTTGTAGAATGTGTGGAGTGGGGTCAGATAGGCGAAGCAATGACAGAGAGCCCATGAGCGATCCAGGGGGTCAGGGGCAACTCTGTAAATTAGAATAGGGAGAAATGTGACGCCTCTGCCACACACATAAAACAGTTCTCCCACAATTTCTAGTCATTGAAATATAATAAAAGAACAGCTACTCAATGAGAAGGGAGACAACAGAGAAGTCATTCAAGCAGTCCACAGAATTGCTGTCCCGTTGTCTGAACTGGGACTCTGAGTTGGTCATTGTCTTATCCAATATATGAATTCTTCATTGATCTCTTTAGATAAAGGTTTTGGACTGCTCTCAGAGGCATACTTTTGAAACTAAACAGAGTCCTGGGGCAGAGAGTCTTCCTATCTTTGTTGTCGTCTAAAATAGAAAAGAATTGGGATAGTCATGAAACTGCATTTCAGTGTAACGTAATGACTCAAAATTACTTCAGCCTTTTCTTAATCATAAACAGATCTAACTGGCGTAAGATAGTGTTAGAATTACAGTGCTTTCAGAACAGTCTCAGAAAAGCACCTTATTCAAAGCCAAATCTGCTTAGCTGTGCAGAATATTTTCCCATTGACTATAAAAAGCTGTATACTGCTAAAATCATTTACTGACCTGAAAAACAAACAGAAACCCCTTCTTTGCTTTATCTTGAAACAACTCTATTTCTAGGGTAGCTTTTTGGCCTTTTTTTCCCTCACTACCAAAATATCCAGAAAGGTGCTTGAAAGCAGTAGCAAACGTGGTCACCAAAATCATACGTATCTCTTTAATAATTAATGAGAAAATCCTAACGTGTAAATGGTGTAACTTGACGTTTAAAAGCTTCCTACAAAGAGACTTAATGTAAGTATACCTCTGTGCTGTCAAAATATGACTGATGCTCAGAAGTAAAATGATGCAGCGAGTTAAACTGTAAAATATTCTTTATTTTTTCATGTAATTTAATGTAAGTTTGTATGAATCGTCTTACCGAGTTTGTTAAGATCTCTGAACTTAAAAGCAAAGCCTGCCCCGGTCACTCTTTCTGGTTGCCTTTGCTGTACCTCTAACTTTCTTGTGGTTACGGGGTTACCTGACAATAACCGCTATTTTTGTTCTGTGTAGTTTTCAGGAGGATCGTTACCCATAACGTGATCATGCTTCTCCCTTGATACACGCTAGTAGGAAATATCGCTGTAACAGATACATGAATCTTGGTCTATGGAAGAATAGGGAAGTTCTCACTTCATTTAAATATTTTTTTGTAGTATAATG